AAATTACTTTCGATCAATGTTCTCGGGCGCAACGCGAAGACCTTGGGACACGGGATAATACAGAGATTATTCTGTGTACAGAACGCTGCTGTTCATTTAGATTTCTAGGCAATTAGAGACGAATGTGAAACCGGAACATGATGCTTGATGCAATCGGATACGCGGAAACCGTGCAGAGCGCGCGCGGAGAAATAAATACTGGGAGCACGAAAGCGAATACAAAATAAATTATTCTTTACCGTTTCATCGCACGAGGTTTTGTTTCGCCAAAGGGAATCGATGTCTGTACATGAAACGATCGCATTGGTATTTACGAGCCGCGTAATAGCATTGTAGGTGCTTTTTTGACGGATTTTAACGATCATTTTACGTATTGACAAAGGTATTCGTTCTCTTTGCTCAAAAAAAAAAAACGGTAGCTATTAAACAATTTCTCGACTTTCAACAACTCACGCAATCACAGACACTGAAAGTTAAATAAATTATGTGCAGATATCTCGTTAACAAATTCCCCGGAATTGCTTTATCTAATACTTTATTTATTTAACCCTTTGCACTTGAAGCAATTTTAACTATACATCTAAAATAAATTTTCTGACTTATAGAATATTTCCATTTTATATGACAAAAAAAGTTATATTTTTAACAATTCTTGAAATCTAAGCTTCGATAATATAAAAATGATTTTGGAACCGTGATGTAACAATTTTAGTGGTGCCTAAAAGTCGCCACTCGAGTGTAAAGGGTTAATATTTAAAAATATGGTGATATTTTGATTGCTTCTTTAATATTGCCATCGGTAATAAAGTTTTCGTATATTAATTATTAGGTATCAAAACTGTCTCTTAGATGAAAAAAAAATCGACGAATTCTGCGACGACCGGATTACATGAAAGCAATGAGTTCGCTTTTTCAAAATCATATTATTTAATACACGACATAGAAATATATTCTCGTTTAATTCAACAAATTATATCCGACAAAATATGCAAACAACAGTACAGAATTGAGTCGTTTATTTTGAAAGTGGCATAAGTCACATTGTTTTTAAGTCGATATATTTAAGGGTTTGCGTTTTAACACGTTTAAAAATATGAATGCTAACTTTCGAGAAGATTTACTTGTATTTGTTATCTCAGGATACTGATATTTTTCTCGGTATAAATAATTTCGTATAAACATTAAAAAATCACCACTTTTCATTACGGTGAAGTGACTTGAGCCACTTTCAAAATAAATAGTTTAGAAAAATGGCTGACATATATTAATGTTGTCCGACGTATTTTACTGAAGCGATGTTTTGAAAGGACAGTGATTTACTAAAATTGTCGAATAAATTACATATATAATGATAATTTATACCATGAACATATTTAATATAAAGGTTTAATTAGTACATTTTGAAACATAGGTATAAGTAATTTATATGAAAATACATCGGTTCAATTTAATTTTCGTCATCGATAGGAGCGATCTAGTCCTCGGAAATCGTGTTTTGTTTCAAATTTTTTAAATAACTGTGGTATATCGGGGGTATATAATTAAGCAAGTCCATCGTGTCTTTGTATTTTGCTGAAGAAACAGGACGAGATCCAGCGTATAACGGATCCATTTCTATTTGCGAATAACGCCTAGGTCTTCCTCTTTTTGGTGACAAATCCAAAGTTAGAAATTCATCTTTTTCATCTAAAATTAGTTTATAAAACATTTTATAGCCATTTGCTGGCGGGTCTGGAGGCAGCCGCCACATCGCTATAATATAATTTACAAAACTGCACTATTCTTTCGCACTTATAAAAATAAGTCCAGTGTGATCACAACTTTTTTAAAAATACTGAAAATAATTCAAAACAATACTTCGCACACACTTATCACACGTTTCTATCTCTTTTACACTAAGCTCCGCAATTGATTTCCTTAGTACAGCGACTTACGCCACTTTCAAAATAAACATGTTTGTTATAACGTTAATTAGCAAAACTTCTCTCGAACAAATCTCAATAGTCCTCAACTTATCGATTGCAAATTTTTTTAAAATGAAAAGATACCGTTCAATTGTAATTAGTGTTACCATTAACGCGATTTTTTTGGAGAAGTGACTTATGCCACTTTCAAAATAAACGGCTCAATGATTAACATTGCGATATCCAGCTGCGCGCATGTGTCTACAATGCAGAGGCTTTTTGTAGTGCTAGAAAAACAGTGGTGAACAAACATAAAACAAACACAAAATGTTAAATACCTTCCGAATTGTGCGAGAACAGTGCATGCATCTTCATTCTGTGACAGGTTGCACAGCTAGACTGTCAGACACCTTCAAATGTCACCTCCACTACCTCGTATTTTTGTGAAATACCGGATGTTCCATTTACAGTAAAATTTGCAACTATACGATACCACGGGAAAAATATAAAATAAAATTTTGTCATACATGGTTCCAGTTTCAAAAAGCACAGTTTTTATCATACTTCTTCGTATTCACAGTGTATTCCCGTTTTTTTTTGTTTCCTAAACCGATTTGTTATATATATATATTTTAGAAGACGTCTTCTTTCATTTATATTTCACGACTTATTTTATCGAGTGTCTTCGTTGTTTAGGCTGCGTAAAAAGTTATTAATGGAATCTTTGAAATAGATCTTAGACGTGGCTGTATTTTTTTGGTGGAATTTATTTTAGGTGATTTCTTCGGTTGACCCTTTTTTCCAATACACGATATTTTTCATTTGATTCTCTTCCTCCATAATCGTTTTTTAGTTGAGTTTTTACTCGTCATCGTAAATTCTTCATACTTTCTCGATCGTTATTTTATAAAATATTGATAGGAGTAAATTTAAAAAAGAATTGTTTTGTCAAATACTTACATATGCATCTTCGTTCAAGTTCAGTTTTGTACTTTTTTCACGAGACTCTGCAGTCTTTGTCGTCTCTTTCATTCTTTGTAAAACAGAATTCAGATGTCGTTTCGATCACAGTGACGCATGCTCCCCTTTCTCTGTCAGTTTCGCTTTCACACTGGTTTTTTTATTGTCTTTTTCAATGAGATGTTCTTCCTTTTAGTTTCACGAAATCCGATACTGTTCTGATTGTCAGAGGAATTTTTTTAGACAATTCGGAAGCCACTATAGAAATTCGAACCGAGGTCTTCTATATTCATAGCCTCTACCAGAGTCAGAATTCAGTTTCTCGTATTAGATTGTGGATTTTTATGGAAAACAAGAGTACGGAACGTATGGTCTCGTGAAAATTTCTTTCCTCCCTTAACCATTTGTCGTAATATTTTCAAATTCTTGAAAATATATCAAATCCGCAGTACACTCAACGCTAGATTTACGGAACTCGTCAAAATGACGGGTCACTAACTTTTTAATGTACGATTATTCATGTCGTAAAGATACATTTATGAATTATTTATTCAATTTACATGTTACTTATGGCAAATGTTACAATAATACTTGTTAAAAATCTGAATAAACATCTTATTGTTACTTTTATAAATTAATGTAAAGAAAGCTGTTTTTTGTGCTCCGTAAATTTAGCTCGAACGCAATAACTTTTTTAAAACTGGACCAAGTGACTTGAATTTTGTTTAGACGATAGCGGAACTAGCATACTAGACGATGACCAAAATGCTTCGTTTAAATTTTATTACTTTTTGAAATGACAAAAAAAAATAAAAACTCTCGTTTTTAACTTTTGTATCTGAGTCTGTGACGGAAATTTAGAAAATCTGTCTCGCAGAGTTCGGTAACTTATAACGTGCTGAAAATTTTATCGAAATCGGTTGACGTTGTTATGAGTTACATACAAACAATTAAAGATGGCAAAGACTGCAATTTTATCACGATTTTTACTAAAAACGAAGAAATCTGCAGCTCGACTCTGGATTAACCGATTTCGATCATATTTACAGCACACATTTAAGATACCGAGATCTACGAAAGGCATTTTTTTAAATTTTTGTTGTAGAGGAAAAAGTTAAAAAGCGAGAGATTTTTTATGTTTTTTTGTTATCCCAAGTAATAGCAAAATTAAAAAAAAGGCATTTTAGTCATCGTCTAGCGAACTAGTCCCTCTATCATTGAAAATAAATTCAAGTCATTTAGTCCAATTTTGTGAGTAACTGTATATTAATCCACGAATTTAATACATAGCATACTTTTTTTTTTAACCTAACCCGCAAGCACCTAGCACTAATAGTCGCAATCCATGTTAATTGTCAGTAGACTGCAGATCATTATGCATTTATGGTACATAGAAATGCAAGAAAACGTGCATATTGGTAAACATTATTATTATGTTCGCCGTAAAGAACTGTTTACTCGACGATATAAATTTCTTTGTTCGAACACTTCAATAATGATGAATCAAAATCGAGATTCGGAGACTGGGTATCAGCGACTATAAAACTAATCCAACACCGCAATCCCGTGATTCTCAATTCTCGATCATCCTAAGGATCATCCCCAAAAAAGGTGACCACCTGTAGTCGGCTGCTGTTCACGCGTCGCCATACTTAATCCCAAAAGCTTTTTCAATCGAGTAATCTCCTCGCAGTTCTATCGATTCTGCGATTTTACGCGTCACGAGAGATTAATTCTAATTGTCGCGCAAGTCTCCTCTCGATTTGTCCGGGTGCTGGTCCGCTCGACGATTGTCCAGGGTGCTTATTATTTCACGGAATCGGCTTAGCGATCGCCGGTACGCGACCGCGTTACAAAGTGTTTACGGTCGTTTGATTTCCGGTCCCGGGAAATCTATTTTAATGCGCGAGAACGATTTCGGATTGTCAGCATCGGCGTTCTTCCCGCGCTCCGTCGCGAAATTTCGGCGAATATCGCGACGACGAAGGCGACGAGAAGACGTGTCAAAATCAAAGAAACTGTTTTTGATTTTGATTTATTTACTTAATGTCGTATCTGCTTGATAGCAATCAGCGACCATTACTGGGATGCATGAATGATATTGATGTAACATGGGAAAAATCAACGAAAAATGCATTCTCATTTTACAAATTAATTCAGATGCATTAACAAATTAAGATAACAATTTATATTTATACGTGTCTCTTATGCACGATTGTCTAGTCCCATGAAGTGAATTCGGTCATTCGAGCTGCAACGAAACAAAATACGTATTATAAACAAATCATAAAATCGTATAAAAGATAAAAAAGGACATCGATCTTAAATAAATACTTATTTTTAAAATGTCAAACTTCTTGAAACATATTGTTAAACAATAGAAGTATAGAATTGGTAATAAAAATGAATAAACAAATTTATTTCTATAATTTTTTGACTGAAATTTATAAAGCGTTCGAGAAAATTCGATGTTTCTTAATATTTTTTTGATTATGTAAGTACTATATCAAAAGTTTCTTGCATTTTGACATTTATATATTCTACTTTAATATACCGTAAATTGTTTTTTCCCTTTAATGTATATTTATTTGAATATATGGCATAGAAGTCGAAGTTATGCTAGTGTTCGAATACTTTCGTTACCAACTATACATATATGAGCCGTTTATTTGGAAAGTGGCATAAGTCACTTTTCCAAAAAAATCGCGTTAATGGTAACACTAATTACAATTGAACGGTATCTTTTTATTTTAAGAAAATTTGCAACCAATAAGTTGAGAACTATTGAGATTTGTTCGAGAGAAGTTTTGCTAATTAACGGTATAACAAACATGTTTATTTTGAAAGTGGCTCAAGTCACTTTACCGTAATGAAAAGTAGTGATTTTTTAATGTTTATACGAAATTATTTATACTGAGAATAATATCAGTATCCTGAGATAACAAATACAAGTAAATTTTCTCGAAAGTTAGCATCCATATTTTGAAACGTGTTAAAACGCAAACCCTTAAATATATCGACTTAAAAACAAAGTGACTCATGCCATTTTCAAAATAATAATTATTTGTATTGAACACTATTACTTCAACGTTATCGTCTTAATATAGGTTCTTCTAGTTAGAGAAATAGAGGGAATGCGGTACCAACATTTTTTAACTGGGAAAATTTATGTTAAACTTGAAATGTTTCGAAAAAATTGTGATTTATACGATACCGTTATCCAATACAGTTGTATTTTTTGTAGGACATGTTAGACATGATTTTCCGTAGATTTTGACAAAATTTATCTACCGCTACAAGATTTTGAGAAAAATCAACGGGTGAACATATCGTTTCAACGATAAAAATCACGATTTCGTTAGTTCCTTCACTGAAATCGATTTTTTTTCGAAATCCTGACGTGGTAGATAGATTTTGTGACCGGATTTGAAATCAACGTGCCAAAATCGAAATGATTTGAAATGATGTATAACATGTCGTAAAAAAGATCCGACTGTACACGGTATTGGATAAATCACAATTTCGTTGGAATACTTCAAGTTTCCAAGGTTANAAGTTAGCATCCATATTTTGAAACGTGTTAAAACGCAAACCCTTAAATATATCGACTTAAAAACAAAGTGACTCATGCCATTTTCAAAATAATAATTATTTGTATTGAACACTATTACTTCAACGTTATCGTCTTAATATAGGTTCTTCTAGTTAGAGAAATAGAGGGAATGCGGTACCAACATTTTTTAACTGGGAAAATTTATGTTAAACTTGAAATGTTTCGAAAAAATTGTGATTTATACGATACCGTTATCCAATACAGTTGTATTTTTTGTAGGACATGTTAGACATGATTTTCCGTAGATTTTGACAAAATTTATCTACCGCTACAAGATTTTGAGAAAAATCAACGGGTGAACATATCGTTTCAACGATAAAAATCACGATTTCGTTAGTTCCTTCACTGAAATCGATTTTTTTTCGAAATCCTGACGTGGTAGATAGATTTTGTGACCGGATTTGAAATCAACGTGCCAAAATCGAAATGATTTGAAATGATGTATAACATGTCGTAAAAAAGATCCGACTGTACACGGTATTGGATAAATCACAATTTCGTTGGAATACTTCAAGTTTCCAAGGTTATATTAAGTACCGCATTTTCTCTATATTTCTAGCTTGTTCTGCAACATTTCAGCTTTAATTTAAAATAAATATCATGGTAGTATCTAATTTTTACCGGAAGTTCTTCGATTTTTACACAATTTCGTCCCATTCACCGCGCGCCACAGGCGTGCGTAAATATCGGCCGTTCGAGGTTGAACATTTTGCCGAGTACATACATATATTGTCAAACTTGTCAACGCTCGCTACAACATGACCGTGCTCTTTTCTCTGTGGGAATTTCGAATGTCACAGACAAATATCTCGTTATTGGTAAATTATTGGACGAGTGCCAAGCGGCACGGTATACTTTACATCCCGGATTGTACCTTGGATCCCGGGTTTTAAGTGACAGACTGCGCACCGAGGATATTAGATTTCCGATGCTGAATCCTAAATTTTCTGTTCTCTACCTTGGATATTGGATTCTACTGGCTGCTACGCCGACTGTTCTGTATAATCATTCCGCCATTTGCAGCTATGCAACAGAGAACGTTATTAATCAATTACTCGTGCACACGATCAGAGATATACCATAAATATTTAGATTTGTTGTTTTACGGTGTTCATTGACACTGTTGAAGGGCAGACGCAAAGATGCGAGTTTCGGTAATTTTGTTAAGAAAAGTGGCTACACCGGCCCTTTTACGGCGTTTTTTTATAATTAGATTCCGAATATTATGCATTTACGAAAAACATGGGAAATCGAAATAGAGAACAATGAAGTCATTAGAAGAATTTAAAAATGCTGTTACATTATTTCCAGTATATTAAAAAAAAGAAGAAATATTAGGTCTACCGGAAAGTTCTGTCCGCTTTTGAATTGAAATATAACACAATTTTCATACATTTAATAATATTTATTGTAGAATATACTTTCCATCGTTACTTATGACTTCTTGCCAGCGCGATGGCAACTTGTAAATGCCATTTTTAAAAAATGATTTATTTTTAGAGCCGAAGAACTCGACTAGTGCTTGGTTGACATCAGCTTCAGTTTTGAATTTCTTTTCCTGTAAAAAGTTTTGCAAAGAGAGAAACAAGTGATAATCGGAGGGTGCTAGGTCTGGGGAGTATGGTGGATGCGACAGAATTTGCCAGCCTAGCTCTGCGATTTTCTGACGAGTCGCCAAAGCAGCATGTGGTCCGGCATTATCATCGGTAGCCATGTTTTCACGATCGCGTCTCACTTAATAATGACACTTTGTTTCAGTTTATTTAGGAGAGTACATGTGTGTAAATGCAATGATAAAGAGAGATAGTCGTATATGTCTCAAATCAACATGCGCGTATGGATTGAAACTTCAAGTGACACTATCGAACAGAACTTTCCGGCAGACCTAATATATAGTAAAATCTCCTCAATTAATCCACAACTTGGAAACAAAAATGAATGATTTGGCAAGAAGGGATACGATTATTCGAGCCTTGCGGTTCATTTTTATAGTTGCCGATTGTCAACAATTATAAAAACGAAGTGCAAGGCTCGAATAATCGTATCTCCTCGGCCCAAATTGTCCATTTTTGTGTACAAGCTGAAAGAAAATTAGGGAGAATTTACTGTATTTTTCTACTGTCCACTGAAATGCGAAATGATTTCAAGATTTCAAGATTTGGTTGAAGAATCGCATGCATTTTTAAATTAATAGTGACAAAAATTAGCTTGATGAAAGTGGGGAAAACATTAATAGAATTTACCAACATCGAGATAATTCTTTCAATTTGTTAACATTAAGAGACGACGTGAATTTTCGATTTACTTCCAGCTTTCTACAATTCGACTGTGGATCTTCGTGCAAAATAAAAATGTTCTGTACCTGTCGCAAGAAACACGAGTCATTTAGAAACCTTTTTCTTACTATACTATCATCATAATGAGTCTCAATCTCATAATGTCTCAAATCAACACGTGCATATGGATTGAAACTTCAAGTGACACTATCGAACAGAACTTTCCGGTAGACCTAATTTATTGTTGCGTAATTTCTGTTTTGCACAATTGAAGCGCAAAGTTTCTACTGTGCATAAATATCCGCAGTCTATTTATGATTATTGGTGACAGCGAGGATATGTAAACAATACGTATGAATATCCATGTATTTACTCTTTTCATTTCCTTTAATTTCCTTACGAACGGGAAGCAAATTACATACAATTCCATTTTTCATAATTTATAAATAATGTATAACAACGAAACGCCGATACGCCGCTAACTTATGTCTTATATTAACGGATGTTTCATATCACAAACAATTGAATCTTTCGTTGATGATGTGTTGAAGATGAAATCACATTTTTCCTTGAAAGGACGTGGTCTCGTAGTCGACATCTTCGATTTTTCACGAATCTTCAAATAATTCAATTTATCCTTTGTCACCGGCTACCAAATAATCTTGATGCAATCGTCGAGAGATGGCGTAGGATTCCTGGATCGAAATTACACATTGTTACGCTTATATATACATAAATATTTCAAATAAATTATATTTGGGAGTTTATGACTGGTACATCCCGTTTTGGCAAGATTAGTCCACATCGTACATAGCTGTCGATCATAATTCGGTCTTTAATACCTTTACTTGGTGGCGCAGTTCTCGTGGTAGGATTATAGGTATGCTAATTCATCTTGATAGGACGTATTATTATATATTATATTCTATATTCTATATTATTATATATTATATATTATATTATATATTATTATATATTATATATTATATTATATATTATATATTATATATTATATATTATATATTATATATTATATATTATATATTATATATTATATATTATATATTATATATTATATATTATATATTATATATTACATATTATATATTCTATATTCTATATTATATATTATATTTGTTTTAAAAACGGATAAAACAAGTTCGATATTTTCACGTCGAGACAGTCTTCGAATAATTGTTTAAACCACAAAATTTCGTACATGCAAACGCATCGATGAAATTCTTGTTTCATTTTTTTCTTTTTTTTTTAAATACGATAGATATACAATATGTTTTTCATCTATTTCGAATATTTAAGAATATGATTAGGACTGGTTTGTATGTTGCTGATAATTTTGTTTAGAACTGGTTGTGAGTTCATTTCAATGAGTAAAACTGACGTCAAGTAAAAATAATAAGTTACGAAACTCGCTGCTTGTTTCGAGCGAAATTATCAGCTGCAAGTTTTATGCGGATGACTCCTAATCACAGATTATCTAATATAGTTACAAGGTTGCATTCTTAATTATTCAAAGTAAACTAAAGTGCAATTACCGTTGAACATTTTGTCGTGGTGGTACAGTAAATTCTCCATAATTGATGCTCAGCTTGTACACGAAAATCGGACAATTTGTGTAATTTCGATTCGGAAATCCTACGTCATCTCTCGACGATTGCGTCAAGATTATTTGGGAGCCAGTGACAAAGGATAAATTGAATTACTTGGAGATTCGTGAAAAATCGATGATGTCGATTATGAGACCACGTCCCTTCAAGGAAAAATGAGATTTCATCTTCAACACATCATCAACGAAAGATCCAACTGTTTGTGATATGGCAATTTGGAAAGAGGTGATACGATTATTCGAACCTTGCAGCTCGTTTTTACAGTTACCGATTGTCAACAACTATAAAAACGAGACGCAAGGCTCGAATAATCGTATCTTCTCTTCCCAAATTGTTCATTTTCGTGGACAAGCTGAGCGTCAATTAGGGAGAATTTACTGTATTTCCTCGGGATCCTTGGCAAGCTGTCGCAAACATTTTCTGAATCGCATCTGAAATTCACGTCCAGGGATTACGGCAGGACAAGTCAAAAGACCGCTTAACATATCTGCTTTGTGGAGAAGTCCTGTAATCATTTTTAACTATGTAGTTACCGGGTTTTGACGAGTATACTCGTCATAACAACAAATGTTGATATTTGATACATATACTGTGTATTTGTTATATTAAATACTATGTATTTGTTATATTTATAATATATACTTTGATGTTCTTTATTAAATTATATGTGTCATAAAAGTGTTGGAATTAAACAAAATATGACGAAAAATATGTACGATATAATTTGCAATAACAAAGAGATTGCAACAGCTGACTGGTTAAATGTTAATTAAATGAGAATTATTTATAGTAACGACATTGTGCAAAATAAAACTTATCTTCTTCAATTGCAACAAAGATAGGTCAAATAAAAATTTCTTTCTTTCTTTAAGAATTTCGATGAGTGGAAAATAAGACACGGATGTCTAAAAATTCTTTTAATATTTTCATTGTTTGAACTTTCACCTACCCATTTTTATTACAAACGTGTAGAAATTCGCACTCTGGTAGTGACTATTTTTCAAAATTTTTAATTATATCGACTGTAAGTGGAGTGTCCTACCTTTCGCACGAGGCAATATTGCCAAACAATGAGTTATAGCCGTTCCAGTACTACCGCCAACCACTGTGACACTGCTTGGATCGCCTCCAAAATTGGCGATGTTGTCTTTGATCCTTTCCAAAGCAGCAATCACATCTTTCACGGCCTGGTTGTCAGGCGCAACCTTGTGCTGTAAATTCAAGAACCCTCCGAAATGTCAATACATTTCTTGTCAATTACCGATCTTAGTTGAACTGTTATTAACGCGTCGAATGCCACGCCGGTTTTACAGAAATTGTCCGTGACGCCACGATGAATTTTCTTTTATGCGATACATATAATGTTGAAATATTATTTGCAATAGTTGAATATTATCATGCAATATAATGTTGAAATATTATCTGTAATAATACAAAATTCTAGATATTGACATTTATTTTAAATTATATATATTTCTATCAATTTGAGCGTGCCGGTCACCGGTGACCCCCGTGGCATTCAACGTGTTAAAATACTATATGCGAGGTTAAGCAAAAGTAGTTTGTAAAATAAAATTAGATCACTTTATAAAATTTAATATCAATGTGATAAAACTTTGTAAACTAATTGTAGAAGGGAAGCAATGCCTTTTAACCCTTTGCACTCCGCCGTCCCCTCTCGTGGGACATTCAAGTTTATTAGAAATGTTACACAGAAATGTTACTACAGATATGTAGAAGGTTTTCTTCTACAGTTAGTCCATCGTTTTGATAGCAGCGATAGCGATATCGTCCAAGCAACAAGGCGACGAGAGAAAGAGTTCGCATAGATAGCGATTACGACAACAAAACAA